GACTCATTGTTTGACAGAGCTGTATAAATTCCTCAAAAAAAATTTTTTTTTTGTTCAATGGGATGATTGGTATTGTTGAAACAATTTTGTTGCACCAGTTTTTGATGGCAACAAAACGGCAATAAGGCAACATTCAAAATTCACTTATCATCCTTATATTCAGTGTTCTGTCTAAAAACAAAAAAAAAAAAAGAAGTGTTGAATCTGAAAAAAAAAAACAGCACAAAATAACAACAACAAAAGAAGAAGAAGAAGAAGAAAAAGGAAAAAAAAAGTAACAAATACATTCTTTGTCATTCAATTTTCCAAAAAATTCACTGATATTCATACATTATACATATACAGTTTTTTCCCTATATTTAATAGAACAATTGAAACACAGATCCATTAATATATCACAAAGACGACAACAAAGAAGACAGTATTTAAAAAATTAAAAAAAAAACTTCGGTTATTTCCAATTTTTTTTTCTACCGCTGGCAGAAACAATTAACTTAAAAAAGATACCTTAAAAATTTAGCCGAAAAAAGGCAGATGAAAGTCTTTTTTTTTCTTTCCAAAATTGTTGCATTCCTCAATTTAGCATTTCTTTTTGTTATAACCTTTCCTTTCCTTTCCACCGCTTCTCCGCAACTTTTTCAGCACAGATCAGTTTTGCAAACTTTTTGAAAGTTGAAGCAGTTCAGCAGCCAGAAAAATAGATAATAAAAACAACGTTAACAGCTTCTATGAAATTCTCTGAAACATCGGATCAGGAACAACCGACCAACGCATCTCTTATCCTAAAAGTCCAAAAAAGCCACTCCACATAATGCCACATTCCCATCACCACCAACAATTCTTCTATTAGTGTAAATATAATCAACGATTTGTAACTAATTCATTGTCCAAAGCAGATGCAAGGCGAACCAAAGAAAAAAAAAAATAAAATAAAAGCTTTTTGTTATTTTGCTGACACCCAAAAGCAATCAATTTAAAATAAAGGTCTGACAAAGTTTTCAACAAATTTTCTTTTTTTCTTCCTTTACTAAAACTAAATTCTTTTTTTCTTTTGTTAAAATGAGAAAAATACACATACGCATTTTTTTAATGCATTTATATTCTATTCCACGTAGAAATACACCCTCCATAATACTTCAGGTGCGATGCTTGAATTATATATATTCAACTGAAGCCCTGTCACAAAAATCATATCTATTCACAACTAAACATCTGTATTCGTCCTAAAAATCGCTTGCAGCAACTACGAATTCCAGTAAAAAATAATGCCAAAAGTTTTACTTGGAAAAAGTGTTATTAAAAAAGCCTAAAAATATATAAATTCAGTAAACCGCAATCAATAACTCCTAAGGAAAAAAAAAATAATAATGAAGAAAACTTTGAAGAAGAAGAATAAGAATAAGAAGAACGAAAACAACATTGTAAATTCATCCTACAGTAGCGCATCAGAATCTTCCGGAGAATTCCGACATCGCAGCATCGTACTGTGATACATCAATAACAGCTCTAATTTCAAGTCAAAAAAAATTAGAGAACCAAAAATGATACATTTCCAAATATGAGTTCTTAGAAATATCGCATAAAAGAAGAAAAGTATACAGTTTCCGTCCTTTCGTCAACTTTTCTTTACCACTGCTTTTCAATACCCTACAAATATATTAGGCGTGAAAAAAAGTGAAAAACTTTTTGCCAAGGTGTAGCAAAGTTATAAATGTCCACAGAAAAAAATTAAC